TCAGGCAACATTGCTTGCTACTCTCATAAAAGACTGCAGTACCTTCCTAGCAGTCATTCAGGAATTACTTAAAAGTAATTGTATAATAATAAACATGTCCTAACAAACAGTGTTTATTAGTAGTTTCTTCCATTAAATCCTCTAAACTAGTTGGATTTACCCGTTGAAAATCAAGAATTCAGCTGATTTAAATATTCAGGCCATACCCCACTTTTCCACTGGTGGTGCTGAAACCATATGCTGCCCGTTTCTCTTCTGGAATCTCGTCAGTGAAACAGCACCAACGTGCTTGATGATCATTATCTGTGACAATCCAGAAAACAGTGAAGTAGGGAGAATAAAATAAAGAGTAGGAACTTTGATAGGTGAAATTTTTCCTCTTCTGTTTTCCACACTTTATAAAGTGCTTATATATGTCACACTAATAGACATTAAATCTCCTTTCAAGCTCCATCCAAGGATTTCTTGAAAACTTGTTGATCCTGTGAGCAGCAAGCCTAGTTCAGGCAGAGAGTGGGGGTCAGAGCACAATCTACAACTAAAAATGTGCAGGGTACAGATGTTTTCTGTGCTTGACAGATGTTCTAAACCTGTTTCCTTAGAAGTCATCTTATTTCTTATCTTTACTGCCTGTGAGCTTATTTCAGGCTGCTTAAATTCACTGTCCACTTTATTAAGAGCCTCTTGGTTGTAAAATGTGCAAATTGCAAATAGGATGAAAAGTGCATACACAGAACTTTTTTGAAAAGACAGCTGATAAAGAGAGGTTATGGGTTGAATTGTGTCCCTCAAAAGATATGTTGATGTCCTACCTCCCCACTCCCCTAGCTCTCCACACATACCAACCTGTGAATGTGACCTGATTTGAAAACAGGGTCTTTGCAGATATAATCAAGTTATAATGAGGTCATCCTGGATTAAGGTGGGCTCTAACCCGATGGCTGCTGCCCTTACAAGAACAGGGAAATTTGGACAAAGACAGGAGAGAAGGCCATGGAAGGACCTAGGGAGACACAGGGGTCTCCTAGGACTGCAGGCAACCACCAGAAGTGGAGCAGGCCAAGGAGGACCCTTTCCTGGAGTCCTCAGAGAGAGCGCGGCCCTGCCAACTGCTGGATGTCAGGCTTCCAGCCTCCAGACTGTGCCAGAATACATTTCTATTGTTTTAAACCACCCACTTTGTGGTGCTCTGTCATGGCAGTCTTTGGGAACTTATTCAGGAGATTTTGATTATATATATAATTAAAGCATCCCGTCTTGCTCTGATAGAATGTGGTCTTTTCCTAGCCAGGAAATATGGACATTTTTACAAGGCAGCGGTTGAAACAGTGACTTTGCTGACATTATGGTCTTGTATGAGAATTCTTACAGTGTCTTCAGCAGTCACCCTGTGCCAGCTCAGCTGAGCTAATCACATTGCAGCCCAAGCGAGCTTTCTAGAATCTGATCACATCACCCATCCACTTAAAACCTTCAGGGGTCCCCGCGGTGCTCCCACAAAAATACCCACACTCCTCAGGTGGCTCCTCTTCCTGCTTACCTCTCCCCCTTTCCCACCTCACACGGCTCTTCACTCTCTGCATGGAACATGCTTCTTCCCTTTGGCCTCACTGCTTGGCCATCTCCTGTTTATGCTACTCTGGTCTCTATGCAGATGCTCTCTCCTGCTTACTTGCCCTCCCACAGTCTGCCCTAGGTCTCTGGCACAGCCCTGATGCATCTCTCGTCGTACCTGCCTGTGTACCTGCTTGCAGCTCCCTCTAGCCTTGCTACTCCAAGTGATGCCTGTAGACCAAATGCGTGGGCATTACCAGAGTTTCTTTAAGAAGCAGAATTGCAAGACCTGTTAGGTCTCCAGAATCAGATGTGCATTTTAACAAGGTGGTCTCATGCGCATTGAATTTGTGAGACTTCCATGCAGTTTCCTGGGGGAGGGAGCACTTGTATCCCCAGAGCCTGGCCCAGTGTCTGTCTTAAATTAAAGAGAGATTTAACTGATGGATGCATCAGGCTGATGTTGCATTAACCCACATGCTCTCCAGGAAAAACGACACAAAGCAAAACCAAAAAACAAGTCCCCTTTTGGTTTACAGCCTATGTATATCTTCACAGGTTTCCTTTAAATTCTTCCCTCACTCAGCTCTTATCTCTTCTTGTCAAATCCCATTTCTGCATGACATATATGAATGACTACTTGATTACTAATCATGTTGGCTGTTTTGTTTTTCAGTAATTTTTTCCACTGGCACAACCTGATTTACTGACAATTTTGAATTCGGTTTCTAAAAAATTGTTGACCTCACTGCTCCTTTTTATTTAAAAACAAAAAGCAAAACAAAAACCAACAGATAATAGGGGATTCCAGTGCTTTATGATATATTTTTATTTTTCAGCCCCGGTGGCCAAAAATATTCCTAGATGTATATATATACCTTGCAAGTTCTCATGAGATGATAAGTCACTTTTCCAGAAAAGTATATAGTTAAGAGAACCTTTTCACACTCAGCTTCGAATTCCCATAATAGAATGTTAGATCTGAAAGAGTTTGCAAACTACCTCAGATCCACCATCTTAAAAAGCCCTCCAAACATGGCTGATTCTGACCCATCTCTGATGCCCACCTCCCCCCACCTGCTCCTCCCTTTTCTTTCCAAGTCAAATTTGCAATTCTCTAAAAGGCACAAACTGCCTACGGTTTGTGTGGGTCTCGTGACCAACTGCCTTTTGTAATGATAATATTAGAGGACAGGGTTGACACACCCTTTGTAGGTAAACAATGACATAATTTGTTTTTCTTTTGTCGAATGTATCCATTGCCTCTCAGCAGGCTCCATTTGATCAGAAAGTTTACTAATTTATCCAGCCAGGAAGGCAATGGTGTTCTTTAAGTATTAAGTCAGTCAAAATGAGCCTTGTGAAGGAAGACCCAGTGGTTTTCAGATACCAGGTTCCAGATAACAGATTTGGAGGCCGCATCTCCACAGTGCTTCCTGTACCACTTGCGGAAAAACTCCTGAATTCTCTTAATCCCACTGTTTACCACACTCAGAATTTAAGTTGTTTAAACTCAAAAGCAGTTTTGTTCCCTGCTTATAGCGTTGTCTATACTTCTGCAGAAGCAAGCCAAAATAAATACTTGCAGATTTGTGTTGATTGAATGATTTCAGGTAAATAAACAAGCTCTGCTGCCTACTGGGGCCAGATAATGTAAATGAGAAAACAAACAGCAGGGAGTGCGGCGGAGGGGAGCTCCGCCCGACGTCTCTCTCTTGGAAGAGGCAGCCACCACTTCCAGTCTGTTCTGAACGTTGGGAAGACAAATCCGGGGTTGCGAGAGCATCTGGTTTTCCAAAGGACGCCAGAAATCCAGGCTTTTAACGCAATCTCTCAATTTTAAATGTTGGCAAGCAATTAAAATGTTCATAAGACATTTTGCAGATCAATCTTGGGAACCAACGAAACCTAACCCTTGTAGAAAGCCACAGAGCTGTAAGTAGCCAATTTGCATCCTCTGCGTTAAGCAGCGCGGATAATCTAGGAACACGCTTTCTCGGATTGATTCGTGTCAAGGCCGCAGTGGGCACGAGCCTGAGTCGGGCGGCCCCGCCTGGGCGCAGATCCTGGCACTGCGTCCTGCCTGTGTGAGCTGGGGCAATTCCCCTATCTCTGTAAACCGCCGTGTTGCACCTGTAAAGCGGCCATGATGTTTTTAAGAACTGTGGCTTCGTGGGGTTGTGTTGAGGACAAGGAAAAATGCCTGCTTAAGCCCTTGGCATTAAGCCCTCTCACTGTAAGCAGACCGAAGCACTCCTTCTCTTTTTAGTAGATTAATTACTCAAAGGCCGGCCAAACCTCCTACAAATAACTTCATATTCCCGGATAGCTTTTGATTCCCTCCACAAAAGCACTTGGAAGGATTCTACTGATGACTTAAAAAAATATTACTAAGCATCCAGAAAGAGCAATATCCAGAGGGGATATGCTCTTTTACAATCGCTGTCCTGCTCCCGGGGGCCGAGGACTAGCTCCTCCCTCTTCCCATCCACCCCACCACACACACACACACACACACACACACACACCACACCACACCACACCACACCACACCACACCACATACCACGCACGCACGCACGCAGCCGGTGTTTGCTTGCTTGCTGCGGTGTTTGACACACACACACACACACACACACCACACCACACCACACCACACCACACCACACCACATACCACGCACACACGCACGCAGCCGGTGTTTGCTTGCTTGCTGCGGTGTTTGAATTTGTAAAACTTCTCAACAGTTTCAATAGGTATTTTAATTACTAACACGGCCTCTGGCATCATCCCTCTTGTTATTAAAGTTCTCATTTCACTTCCTTGAAACTACCCACACTCTTGAGGGTGAGAACTCTCTTTTTCCGAGCTCTTTCTGGGGTTTGTTTACCAAAGTCTCTAATTGCGCATTTATGATAAGGACGACAATCCCGGCCTCCTCATCCCCAGCCTCCCTGGCCCGGCTCCTGGACCCCGCGGCAACGGCAGCTGACGCGACCTCATTCTCAGTCCCGACCCTCTGCTTCCCCAGCCGGTTTGTTACAGAAGCAAATCCGGGGCTCAGAAGGCGAGCACATCGCAAGCACCCCGCGCGCCCGCCGCAAGTCGGGAACGTGCCCCGGCACGTCTTGGAAGATACCGCTGAGTTCGCGGCCCGGCCCCGCCCCGACCCCTGCGCGCGCGCTCCCCAGATCGCCTTGGCCCGAGGGGCGGAGCGAGGGGCGGCCCGGCGTCCAGTTTCACTACGTCACCGGGAAGTTCCCAGCTCTATAAAGGCTCAGACTTGAAGCTGTTCCCGAGACAGAAAAGGTTTTCGGGCGCTCCGAGTTGGGTCTTCACTCCTATCCGGCCTGATCGCCCAGCTCGCAGCCCGCCTCCTGCAGACTCAGGGTTGGGGGACTGAGTTCCGGGGGTCTGCAGCAGAGTTCCCGCCCGTTGCTTGCGGAGATGCCTGGAAAGAAAGCGCGTAAGAACGCGCAGCCTAGTCCTGCGCGGGCCCCGGCAGGTAGGGACCAGACGGGGCCCGCGGAGATCTTGGCCGGGGCGGGGGCCGGGACCGGGGTGGAGGTCTCAGGCGGGGCCGGGTCAGCCCGTCTACTTTTGGCCTCAAGATCCAGCCAGGTCTGCGGCCTTGCACGTGCTTTTGGGGCGCCTTCTGGAAGTTCTTCAGGGGTTTTACCCAAGACCGCGGCGACGGCGAGGTAGGGATCCCGGTGCGGGACTGGGATGCAGCTGTATTTTAGCGTTTGCAGAACGCCGCTCCTCCTTCGCCTGCCTTCCATCCTCATTTTCCCTGCCCCGGGGCCCCAGGGAGAAAAAGTGCAAGTGCGGGAGTCAGCCTCGAGGAGAAAGCCCCCGTCCTGGCAGATGGGGACGGGGGAAGCTCTTGGAGCCACCTGGCCTCCCGGCGCGTCCTAAGACGGGCCCTTTTCTCCGGAGTCCTGGACCTCTGCGGGCCCTGCACTAGGTGTTATCACTCTCCACCCTCAACGCGATACAAAAGGCGAGATAACGCTCCGCACGATCACAGCAGCTCTTCCACAAAGGACTGATGGGGACTTCGCAGGGACCGTTGCGTTCAGGAGCCCCGAAAGTCTTGCTCCTTTTTAAAGAGTTACTCTGTGTAACATTTTAACAATCTATACTAGTTGTGGAGAGGGGATAGGAGAAACGGAATTGGTCCCTAATTTTTAAAATCCATCCAGTCCCCCCCCTCCCCGCGCCCCCGCAATAGCCCCATCAAATGACTTTTCAGGTCAGCCGTTACCCCCAGCCCTTTTTATAAATTTAAAATTTAAAAAAAAATTTTTTTATTAGAGAGGGGAAGGGAAGGAGAAAGAGAGGGAGAGAAACATCACTGGTTGCCTTCCGCACGTCCGGGAGGTGGCCGCCGTTCAGGGAATCAAATCAGCCGCCTTTCAGGAAATCCAACCTGCGGCCTCTTGGTTTGCGGGAGGGCATCCAACCCATATCTTGCCCTCTTTATAAATCTTATCAAACAAGGCTAAGGGGCAGTAGCAAAGAAGGCAGCAAGGCTTTAGACTTAAAAATACTTGTGACCATGCTGCTATTACATCAGCAAGTAATAGCGCCCACCCCGCCTGCAACGTGCTTTCGTTTTATGGAGCTCATGCAGCGCGCAAAGGAAGTGGCGCACTGGCAGTGGAGACAAGCCTAAGTGGGCTGCTCCCCCTGGCCCTTGCTTGGGAGGGAGAAAACTTTGTCCGCCTTTTGTAATGCCCAGTAGTTCTGACCACGTTTTGAAAAGGTCTAAACTTGTGCGAAACCATCACCCATCCAACTTACTTAGTTCCCAAATAACAAGGGATATACGGAAGGTCCCATGTTTAGATACTACTTTCCGTAGGTTGAGATATAAATGACCTATAATATTGTATGAATTTTAGGTGTACAACAAAATGGTTTGATACATGTATATTGTGAAGTATTACTACAATGAGTTTAGTTAACATCCATGATTACACATTTTTTTATTAATACATTTATAGATGTGTATCTGTAACAAAGAGACTAAAAAACAACTAGGAGCTGTTTTCTGCCTTTTTTTGGTGAAAGGAATAATTTTTCATATAATTCAGGGCTTCCAAAGTTGTATGCAAAATCATAAAATTTTTTTTAGGGTGGTATGTTAATACCTTCCAGTCACTGAAGACAATACATCTTTGTCAAAATGTTTGTCAAACCTGCAAAGAAAAGCATCTTATGATTATTAGGTGTCTTTGGTAGGTACTATGAAAATTTTCCTGAGCTCTTGTAGAGAGAGAAATCCACTTTATTACACATTTACAGTTTTTAGTTATTTTGAGCCTAAATAGGGTCTTTGAAGGGTCTGTTTATACAATAAACCAGATTTCAATTTGTAGTCTTAATGATTCTTATTATTCATAATTGTGATCTTAAAGTGGACCAAAAGACACTGAGTTGCTCTTTGAAATATCCAAGAAAACTGAAATTCTGGTCAGTATAGATTTGATGTTAATTTCACTTAAAAGATTTACTTGAAAATTAGATGATTATGTTTCTTAAACAAACATTCAGTTAATTACTATATCTCTATTCTGAAAAGTAGTAAACATGTGACTTAAACATTACCCACTTTCTGCTGCACTCCTCTCCCTAAAGGCAGTGGATTGGAAGAGGCCGGGTTTGTTGGAAGAATTTGGCTTAGAGGAAAACGTAAACTTTTATTTTAGGGAATGTGGCCTTACTTTTGGAATGCAAGTTTGAGTCTTTTATGAGAAAATTTCAGAGTTTTTTAAATTAAGAAAAGAACACATGTAGATTTGCCTATTAATGAGGGCATAATCTGAGCTATAAATTATTGCCACAATAAACAAGCCCTATTGCAAAACAATAGAAGAGAGTTTAGAATTGACTTCAGTTCCTCCCACCAGCCTTAAGTGAGGAAAAAAAGGATGACATCATCTGAGGCTGGCAATCTCTCGCTAACTGTGGTGTTTGACATTTTAAGTGTCTGTACTTGCAAATAAGATAGTATTTGCTTCATCCAGGATGCTGTCTTAAAAGTAAGATTTCAAAGTAAGTGTCATGTCTTTGTTCAACTTTTGTTGTTGTCTATGAATCACAATGTGTTTGTATATGTTGTGTGTGTTCCATCTCACATTCAGAAAACAGGTGTACATAAAGCTAATGTTAAGAGAAGTGCATCATGGGATAAATATTCAACTTGTCACTCTTGCTGGTTACAGTTTGGAATGCCATCCATTTAATTTCGATGTTTTGTTTTCCTTTTCAGATGCTGAAGCTGAGTGTGCCCTTCAGTTGAGGAGAATTGGAGACAAACTGAATTTTCGGCAGAAACTTCTAAATCTGGTATCCAAACTCTTCCACCTCGGAACCTGACTGCTTCGGAAGCCTTCTAACGAGAAGACTTCTTTAAAATGGGATTCACCGTATTTCATCAGTTGCTGGAGGGGTTGCCTGATAGTGGAGAAGAATGTGAAGGAGCTCCCAGCTGCTTTTGGATGCTCTTGTTTGTGAAAACGGAATACATCACAATGAATTTCTGTTGGCGGTTTTCCAGAAGTCATTGTTTGGGATGTCCGAACATTATTAAACTGCTTTGTTTATTTCAAAGCAAGAATTGAAGAGCATTGAAAATATGGAATGAATTATTTATACATTTCATTTTTGCTTAGAGAACTGTTCAGTTACTTTTGGGGAAGGTTAATGTCCAGCCTCATCTAAGAGGAGTCAATAAATGATTAGTATGTGGGCAGGGGCCAAGAAACAGAATATATATACTGTTTATGTCTACTTTGGGATGAAAACTCCAGAACACTGTATAATGTTTGGTTTCTATATATTGTTCAAAGTAGGTATTTCATGTGAGAACACTGAATGTCATAGTGAATGTTGGTTTTATAGGTCACTACAAAATATAAAATAATTAGATAACTTGTTTCTTTTGACTTAAAATGTATTACACCTGTTCAGATGACCTCTCATTAAATGTTTCCTTTTGGGATTAACTGGAAAGTATATAATTTGAAAATATTTGACCAAAGTATGAGTGTTACTTGGGGCCGATAAAATTCTTACTGGTTGGATATTAAAAGATAAAAAGCATGGACCTTTGGATAACCATGGACAATTTAAAAAGTGAATTTGACTTTTTACTGCTGTAATTAAAGACTTAGTAAAACAAATATTCTAAAGTAACTAAGAAAATGAATGTTTCTAAAGTTTCTAAAATCTGTAAAGTGCCTTTTTCGTACTAGTTAGTGTGTACTCTATAAGTGATTTTTTAAAAGAGAAATTAAGCATGTTTTCATAATTGGTATATACTTTTTAAAATTATTTTTTATGTTTAGTTTACATTCAATTTTGTATTACTTTCAGGTATATAGGACATACTTTGCTTTTTTTTAAGAGGAATACATAGGTTCCATATATACATGAGATTTTCATTCTGGATAAGCAGTATATATATATTATATATATTTTTTATATATAAGCAGTATATATAATATATATATATAATTTGCACTAAAGTAATATGTAGATTCTAAGAAAGATTTCATGCATTTCATTTTTTTAAAGAAGGTCCCCAAATATATATAAAAGCATGATTGCATTTCAGAAAGAATAATCTTATTTATTTTACCTATTTATAATTAAAATATTTTTTTGTTTAAAAATTTACAGTGGTTACAGTTTTAGGTCATGAGAAGAAGGCTTTGTTAGTTTTTTGAGACAGGTTTTATAACTACTTGAATTTTTCACAGTAAGAATGTTTTGAAATAGGCCAGTGATTTTCAACCTTTTCCATTTCACGACACAAACTAATGACTAAGATTCTGCAGCACATCAAAAAAATATATATTTTTTTCCTGGTCTGACCAAAAGAAAAAAAAATAGGTATACTTTGGATTCTTTTTCACCAGATGGCTATTGTTATGTTGGCTGTTGTCATTTTTTGAATTCAACAATCTAGGGGCAAAGAGGTCAGTGCCCCTGACTAAATAGTTAAGGTCAGTATCCCTGACTAAATAGTTAAGTATTACATTTTTAAAAAATTCTCATGGCACACTGGTTGAAAATTGCAGACATAGACTGTGGTCACTTTAGATTAAAAAAATACCTCAGTATCTACTTTTCTTCAGTATTACTTATGGCTGTTAGTTTATTTAGTTGCAAAGATTTTATTTGTGTGCACCTAGTGGCAGATGCATTTTGCCATGTAGATATTTATGGTCTGTATCTATATTTATACATGTATATATACATATAACGATATTATAGCTGTAAACCATTAAAAATCATCACCATTTTCTGTATTTGGGTTTTTTTAAAATCATGTAAGCTACTGTTTTTGACATAACTACAATGTATTTTATTTCATTTTCTTATAAGATTTTATTTATTCTTAGAGTGAGGGGAAGGGAGGGAGGAGGGAGAGAAACATCAATGTGTGGTTGCTCCTCTCACTCCCCCTACTGGGGACCTGGCCTGCAACCCAGGCACGTGCCCTAACTGGGAATTGAACCAGCGACCCCTTGATTCACAAGCCCGTGCTCAATCCACTGAGCCACACTAGCTGGGGTCACGACGTTGTATTTTAACTAATTTTCTTCAGCAGGCACCTTTTAGTGAAACCATCCCCTCTGGTCCTGTCCTGTGTTAGGAATAGAGAAGACAGGGTCATGTGACATGATTTCGGCTGTCCAGGGACTTCCACTTTAATTGGGATAGAAAATAGTAAAAAAAAATTGGAGATTAATGCCGGCTCCTGAGAGCCTTACACGAATGCCCGGAGGGTGGTTCACCTAAAGTAGCCGGCAGAAGTTCATCCTGTAATTAGCAGTGTGGAGAGCCTCCGGTGTTTGAGTCCGCCAGCAAGGGGAACTTCTGCGCGGTGCACTTTCAAGCTTTCCCTTCTGCCCCCACTCTGGGCAGTAAGTATTGCTTCACCCGCAGGGAGTCATGTGCGAAGTAGGTGTAACTCCGAGGCCTTCCTGTTTGAGTGTGAGAACTAAAAAGATACTCTCAGTTTGGAGCTTTGATCTAAGAACCACATCTTCCCCGCCCTCAGAAATCTGCTGAAATCGTGGAAAGTACATTGTCTTCCTTAGACGGGCAGGGATAGAGAACCAGGGACAGGGGGACGGTAATGAGGAGAGATGGCTGCTAGAGAACTGGGGAGTCTAGGGCCGCGAGAAAGCCATAAAAATCAATGCCATCAGCTCCCCCAGAGGAAGGACTTTGTAACGCAGGAGAAGCCGGGGGATGGGTTTCATAAAAGGTGGGATCAATCTGCATTTGATTTGAAGGTCTCAGCCAGAGAAACTCCTGTCCCTAAGCCTCTTTGCATAGCCAGAATGGAACTATGGGTGTTAATTAGTTTTGCTAAAAGTACCTTAAAAAATAAAAAAAAAAAAATGTTTATATATGGAGTAACACAGGAAGGCTTAGACATAATTCACAGGCTTTAGGTATGAGAACTAGATAATATGATAACTATATTTTAATGTCAATTTCCAAGATATCCACATAACTATAAATTCGCTGACAAAAAGTTTTGTAGGAATTAAAACATACTTCGACTTGCATTTATACTTAAAAGAAAACCTTAATAGTGTGTGTATTTGAGAAAAAGTCTATCAATCTATGAATAAGTTCTGTCTAAAGACACTATGCACTGTGATTTGGGTTTTCCAGCAACCCCTCCCTGCCCCCAGCAGAAAAAGCATAAACTGTGAAATCCTGTCCAACTCCTCAAACCTTTGTCAGAGGGAATGATCCTCTAGGAAGACACCTGACACTTTGAAAAGAGAGCGTTGGCTGGGAGGCGTGAAGAGCACAGAGGACTCCGCTTTGGAATCCTGCAGCTGGACTTGCAAGGCAGAGCCATTCGCAAGCTGGGGGAGCCCAGACAAGGCAGCCTCTCCGAGCCAGAGCTAGGCCCTCCTCTGCAGTCGGGAGGACCAGATAGTCGTCAACGTCCCTTCTTTGAAAGAGAAAGCTGGGTGGGAAAGCGGTCTGAAGAAGGTCCCTACCAAGTCTCCAGTCCCACTAGCCCCGCTCCTGATCTCATTTCAGACAGGATAAGAGAACTGGACAGTTAAAAAAAAAAAACAAAACAAAACATTGGGAAATGCGTATAACCCCCGTACTGCTTCCCCCAAGTCTATTTGCTAAGTTCTCCCAAACATTGATTTTAAGTCCTGGAGCAGATTGGGTGGGCACTCCCGGGACACGCATGCACTCTCTAGGAAATGAGCATTGCGCATGCACTCTGGCTTCCCTGCTGGTCTGCCAGTCTCCCGGAGCTGCTGCTTCTGCATGTGCGGCTGAAAAGAGAATCGGGTCACCTGACAGAACACACCCCATGGTGTTAGCACTTGTGGGTTTTCATGCCGTAGGTCATGGTCCAAGAACAAGGCCTTTGCCAATCAATACAACCCAGGCGTTAATTTAGCTTCTCATAATCTTATGGACTTTCTGCAATCAATTTAACAAGTTCGGGGTGAAACAGTCACACCCACTTGCAGTCTTCTCCCAAAGTGGCATCTTTCTAAAACACCAGAAAAATGAGAGAATTGGTAAGAGTTGCAGGCGGGGACTCAGGATCCCTTCCCTCGGTAAGCCCGGCTGCCAGACCAACCTGCCCAGTGCCTGGCGTGGGCGCGCGGGTTTCAGTTGAAAGCCGGATGCGCTTGGTATTTCCTGCATTGTAGTAAAGGCTTCTCCTTGTCCTGCCGTCTCCCTAATGATTTCTAATGGAGCTTATTGAGATTTGCCTGTTTCCAAGTTCACATCTATATTCCAAACGACAAAGTTCCTTTCCCCACAATTGTCATTGGCTTTTGATTTTCAGATCAGCCAGTCACTTTTCCACTTGCTCTTGAGGGACTCTGGATAAACTGCTTGATCCCTGCTTTCTTACAAAGTGCTGTCAAAGTGTACATATTTCAAACCATCCTGAGAATCAGAGGAAGTGAGGCTGTGCATGGTGTCTGGTCCACTGTTCTGCTCCCTAAGTATCAGCTTTCCCTTCAAGATGGAGGGTTAGATGTTCACTTCTTTGCCAAGCTCTGGAAGGCCTTGCGCAGTTAACATTATTAGATGAAAATGAAACCTTGTGAAGGAAGGCAGTTGGGCAGCGTAGGAACTGGAGAGGAAGTGGCAGTTTTTCCATTAATGAGGCCATCTGTTTTTAATAGCTAACCTCTTAATGACGGTAAAACCCTTATTTTCGCCCCATATATAACAAATTTCATGACTACCATTGAATTACTTGAAGCCTCTCCATAGTCATATAAAAAGTCGGGTCTTGATTTTTATAATACCACCTCAAGAAATAGAGAGATGCTGTCTGGTTAGTTTGGACAGGACTATGTTTGGG